GACATTCAGAATTCCCACCATTTTAAATAAAAGATCAGAGTAAGTGTCGAAAGCACTCCCTGTCATGACCCCCTCTAGCTACTTCCAGTGAGCAAATCACTGACGATACACATGGGAAATATCCTTGCATGCTAACCAAATTTGAAAACGTAGCAGAAATGTCCTCAGTAAGCATACCCCGTAGTTGTGTATCGTGTACTCTAGCTGAGTATTGGTAGTATATATGGCTACTGTTTATAGGTATTGAATATTATTCCTGTATATAGCTGAGTATAGCGTAGCTAGCATAGCTGGATATAGTGTAGTATAGCTGATGAGTACAGCTGGTGTATTTTGGTTGAGTATAGTGTGCAGTAGACTCCGCTTCACACTTCTCCACCGCCATTATGTGTATGTTTGTATGTTATATCTGTTCGTTACATCAGCTGTAGTTCTCCATGCATGACTTTGCTACCGGGATTAGTGTCCTTGATGCTGACCAAAAGGATCGCAGTTACTGTGAACGAGATTGGAAGTTTGATATTGTGTGCTACTTTTCTGAACTTTGGTAGAATGTATTCCTTACCCACTGCGATCCAACCGTGGGAGAAAAAAAAAGGGAGAGCAGGTCTGACTAGAGAGATTTATGCTCGCTAATACTCACTGGCATCGAGTCAGAAAAACGGTAAATTGGAGACTATGACTGATTAAACAGCTGGACGGAGTAATGAACTTCCGCGAAAAGGTTCTTCCAGTCATTAGAATCATTCCTCCCCTTGTTACATTAAACGTGCGCACTTAACACTCAGTGGCGCTTATTTATATTAAGGTGACGTCACATACAGTTTATGTCCCAGATAAAAACAAATCAACCAACCGCGCATGCCTGGGATATTACATCCGAAAAATTGATTTTGCTATGTAAAGAATAGCGTGCCCCTTCGCACTACATAGAATAGAGTAACAAATTAGCAATCAAATTAAAATTATCACTTGATATATTTTTGTTGATTAATTAAAGCAAGAAAAGGAAAAGTAGATGGCAGCGGTGGGATTCGAACCCACGCCTCCGAAGAGACTGGTGCCTTAAACCAGCGCCTTAGACCACTCGGCCACGCTACCAATTCGTCAATCAGCTATCGAGAAATGAGTTTAAAAACGAGTCGCAGCGGAGATTTTTAAGACGGACTTCGAGATGTCTAGATGTCGGATGAAACACTGAATTCAGTTTTGGATATAGCTTCTCAAATGAACAATAATCCTTAAAGGAATGCAAAGAGAAAGTTGGCAAAATTTTATGGTATTTAGTGTCCGTTAACAAAACCACCGTCGCGGTTGTGATTTTCTTTGCTTTTTCTTTATGAATTATTAATGAGTTTGAGAAAACACCTTCTTCATTTCTTGCCAATCATCGGCGGAATGATGGGCAACAAAACTAGACGAATGGAAATGAAAGAATAGAACATCACTGACACATGTTTTATCAATGTAAAGACTAAAGCAGACGTTTTTACGAGTAAAATTTGCTTTAAAGCAAATTGAACAAGTTCATCCTGAACGAGCCTTAGTGTTGGATAATGGAATCTTATATTTGTACTGATGCTTTTAGTTTGCGACTCAGTCAGATGGACGGAATTTTAGAAAGACCCTTTGAGAGGCTATTATCCGTTTCTGTTAAGTGAAAAGTAAGATTTGATAAGATATTCAGTTATAGGCAGTGCGCAGATAATCAGGATATTGTCTACAATACAGGGTTGGCGATATATAGGAGTATCAGACTCTGGACCCCGGAGAGGGGAGGGGGACTCCGCATATGAAAACGGTGGGGATGCTCGTGGGAAATTTTGAATTAAACCCCTAAGGGAGACCGATCTGGGCGTGGCCCAAGCTTTTTTTGACTCCTAAAAGAGACCATGTTAAAACACAGACACTTGGATTATATGAATGGAGTAAATAAAACGAATTAAAAATATACATATCAAATATATATTTTTATATATATTTTTTCGCGTGCCACCCTAAACGAGACCTTCACGGCTAAATATGATGGCTTTTTGCCCAGAACACCCTAAGTGAGACCAAAATCCGAAATTTATACCCCTAGGCACAACGACGAGCATCCCCACCCCTTTCATATGCGGAGTTCTCCCCCGGGCTCTGGACACAGGAAAATGTCCGTTGTCTCTATTTAAGCAGGTTAACGTTATAGAAAAAAAAAGAGCTTCTGGTCGAGACAAAGGAAGGTGCTTGTTGCAGGGGCACCCAACAACAGTTTTCTGTAAAATTTCTGTTCGGAGAAGCAAAAATTGCCCAGGTTTTTCTATTGAGCTTGAGGAAGGCTAAAAATTTTTTGTTGACCGTTCCATTCACGTACAATTTTCGAAGCTTATCTAATAAATTTCCTACGATTTTCTGAAGTTCAATGTTTCACATTTCACTCCTTAGGTAAGCTGATTTTTCGCAGAAAAAGGAAATCTAAAATTTCGGATTCGAAAATGCAATGGTAAGAGGAATCAGAAAAAATCTGTCTTTCGTAAAACTTTAAATTGCATCTATAAAATTTTTCGGAAAAATAATACTGAAGCCCTGAAAATTTCGACTCAAGTTGCCCTAGGATGACCGAACAGATATAAATTTCATAACGCCGCTTAGAAAGCATTTCTACGGACCTAAAAGTACTCTGGGTAGCCCAAAAAGTGTTTTGAATGCATTTAGGATGAAAACGCCGTTGGGTGCCCCTGTTGTTATACGAGTGCCCGTAGAGCGCCGGCCAAAATGTTCCGGTGAAGCAAAAATTTATGCCACCTACGTTGCAAATCTCATTTTTGGCCATTTCCATGCTGATTGGCGGAAAACCGGTCAAAACAGGAGAGGCTGGTAAAAAATGAGCTTTTTCCTTACCAAAATTCCTACTCGTGAGCCATCCCGTTAGCTCAGTCGGTAGAGCATCGGACTTTTAATCTGAGGGTCATGGGGTTTAAGTTCCATATGGGGAGAAATTTTGTTGATTTTCCAGATAATTGTTGAAAGTATTGCCTTTGGATAAGTAACCTGGAGTTTCCCTCTGCTAACCTAACATTTTGAAAGTTGCTGTAAATTTTTGCAGCAAAAATAAGTTTGACTGATCTTTACTATTATGATTCTTTATTTTAAAGCATGATAGCAGACTTTATCATGACTCGGGTTAACGAGTATATAATTATTTAATATAGCTATTTTATAAGCAACATGAGGGAGATGGAGGCAAGCAGTGTCCGTATTCTGAGGCGAGGTCTCTGTAAAGCAGCGTCGGAGACTATAACACGTTACAACGAGAATTTATTGACAACCGTGATATCCTGCAGATAAACAAGTTTATCTATTTGTTTGGATGAAACAAATGCAAATGTCAGTAAATCGGAGACACAAAACGGCAACTTAATGAACGATTTGGAGAACACCTCCGATCCATTTTAAACAACCTGTTTAACGCTGCAGCGACCCCACGCCCGTCTCACTAGATTTCAGTCAACCTGGACATGCAATGTACACCTGGTCTTTCTAGTGCGAACGATCCTTATGTCCTTGCTTCTCACTATCATGATGGGTATTCGTTACCTCTGTTAATGTACCCTCGGGTTAGCTGAAACTTTCCGCGGTTTTATTAACACCTGGTCTTTCTTGTGTGAACGAAACGTCGTCTTGTTTCGCCACATCCTGGTGTGGATTAGTTGTGTAGTTATCTCTGTTAGTGTACCTGGGCCTGGTTCCTGAAAGGCCGATTATCGCTAATCTAGGATTAAATTTTGTCCCACTTTTGGTATTTCGTTGCCTTTGGATTGCTTAGAGTAACATTTTATGTTATCATTACTGTATCTCAGAATAAATTCTCGATAGCATATTGTAAGCTTGAGTCACATAGAGAAGAAAACCTTGTTTAAAATTTGACTTAATCTTGGGTTTAACTAAACCATCTTTCGAGGAACCGGGCCCATCTCTGCCTGCGGTTCAGGTGAAACTTTCGGTTTTATTGAAACCTGAGCCTTCTAGTGTGAACGAATCGTCGTCTTTTTTCTCCAGATCCTGGTAGGGATTAGTTATGTACTTATTTCTGTACGTGTGGCTGATCTCTGTCCTCGGTTTCGATGAAAAACAGTACTGTGCGTTTCAAACTCTTCAGTTCTTGCTTCCTCTCCTCCATTCGTGATACCGATCCTACGCATTCGTCTGCAGAACAGAATTTTAGGGAATTCATTCCTGAAAATGGGGTTCATCCCCGCGTAAATAAATGGATTGATCGTGTTCGACAAATAAAGAAGAATCATGCACAACAGTTCTACGTTTCTCGGCATAGTCGCTACGAGGTGGAAACGACGCAAAACCACGATTATCCAAAATGGGATCCAACATATCATGAACGCAAACACGACGGCGAAGAGAGATTTACTCAGTTTTATTTCTCGCGCACTGATGCTAGTGTTATTCTGACGTGCCTGGTTTGCCACTAATCCGTCTGCCTTGTGCTGTCGAATCGTTTTTGCGACCTTTATGTAACTGAAGATTGTAGTCATTAACGGCGTCAGAAAGAAGAGAGTAAGGACTATTCCATAGTGAATCATTTTTCCACTCTCACTGAGATGTGCAATGGAGCACTGTGCATAACCGGGAACGAACTCGAATGCTTGAAGCCCAGCCAGACGTGGCACCACAGTGTAACAAGCCACTAACGTCCACACAACCCCGAGTAAAGCGCACGACTTTCGGGTAGAGAACATTTTTCTGTAAAGCCCGTCCGACTTGCACATTCTCACATAACGGTTAGCTGCAGTTAGTCCCATAGTTACGGGTGAAACATAGATGACAAATAAACTGAAAAATGCATGAAGTTGGCAAATTTCCTCACCGAAAATCCATTTGCTGGTAATCAGCACGCCAATAGCATAAGGCATAACAAAGATGGCTGAAAGCAAGTCACTCACAGCCAAAGCGATAATATAAATGTTTGTTGTTGTGCGTAGTCGTCTGTTTCTATACACTGAGATGCAAACAAAGGTGTTACCTGTAAAGGATAAAACGTTTAAGATTACGACCGATATGACTTCCACAACTGTTAAAAACAGACCGCGGGAGTTCAGACTGTCCGTCATGGTCCTTCGGGTAGGAATAATTTCAGTGTAAAATCCTTTTTCCTCGTTCGCTCCCAAATAAACTTATTTCCCCTTTTGCTTCTCCTGTTTTATTCAGTTGACCAATATTGAAATCATTAATGTTTATAGTAGCACCCCTTAATCAATTATACCAGCGAATGAACATGTATTAGATATTTTACTATGTTGGCAATATCCTCAACAGTGACAAATTGAAGCCCAAAATTACGGTGAAGTTAAATTACTGCTATTATCAGGTTTTATGTTTATATTCCGGCTATCAATTCGTCTTGTGTTTACTGATTAACAACTTGAACCAATCTTTCATGTTATATCACGTATTTCCTTGTGCCTCAAGCCATGTCCGTGACATTTTTTCATATTTTCATTTTGTTACTGAGACACTGACGAGATTCTTGGGGCCAACCTAAATTTAAACCACGGCTTTTAACAATAGATGGCTTCAGTTGGCTTGATAAAGGTTTCTTGTTTTATTTAAGTTCATTAGTTTAATTTTTAGGGCACATGCATACATAATTAAGTATTGTCTAAAAAAGGAACTAACCGCAGAGAGCTTTAATGTAGCTGTGTGTTTATTACATATCCAGGAAACAGGAAAAGGGACGGCATATCTTTTTATAGGTACTTTATCATAAGAATAATTTAGCACGGAAGGGAATTTAAATAGTATTCTTTTTCTCAGACTGTTAAATTTCGGGAGGCCTGTCTTGAAAGTTAGAAAGTAGTTTAGTACGAATTAATATTTTGCCTATTTTTAGACCTTTGATAGCCACCTGGAAAATGCGAATTTACTATATATCGTCATCGTTAATGATTTACATTGTTTGTTTCCTGAAGACACAGAATTCCTTGTCCCCTACTGTTAGCTAAAAAAAATCACATCTTCTAACGCTCTCCGTATGAAATTCTATTTGGATTGCAAAAGATGCCTTTTTACATTCAACTCTGGCCTTGCGTATAGCCCGAAACTATAAAACAACGGCTAAACCCACGGCAAAAATTGTAAACGTCTGACCGAAAAAAACTCCCACAATTAAATACTCTAGTTATCACAGACTTATTGGTGATGACATTTTTCGGGCCCGGTTTAATTTGCAGGTGCCGGTGCGAATGTAAGTAAAAGTGTTAGGATTAGGATAAGGATCCAAGCTACAGGACTTTTAGTCACACCTACACAACTCCAAATTAAGCCATCTGTAAATTGGTGACTCTCAAATAATTTCTTAATTGCAAGTGACAACTACTGACAAGTACCAAGTGATGATCAGTCAGTAAGTGTTGATTGCTCGCAGAATTACCATTGCTACTGTCGCTAGAGCTGATTTTTGAGGAGAGGCAGGGTGATGGGCTCCTGGCAGGACTTATTTTTTCCTTCGACAAACAGGTTAAACGACAAGAACTTGTAGTGAACAAAAATAGGACGAGTTGTGGTTTTTAGGGGAACAATTTTGAAAAACGTAATTTTCCATCCTTGGAGACCCGGGGTGGATTGGACACAACAGATTTTTTTGTGTCCAATCAGAGACAAGCATTCATATGAGTCGTGGAACTGGTTTGTTAAAAGTAGCATCCCAGTGATCTCGCCCGTTCTTGAAAACTTTCACCGCCGCTTTTCCGCACCTCGCTGACCCCCACTGGGTCTCCGAGGATAGGGTTTTTTGTCCATAGAAAAGTCTTTTTAAGGGACTGTGCAATAGTTATCAGGAGTGGGGGAGGGCTGAAAAACTAGAGGGGGGGCATTACATAAAATTGCTGCCAAGATAGGGGGGGGGGGGCTCAAAGTAAAATCATGCACTCATTTGACGGAGGGGGGCCTTAAGTTTATTCGAAATGTAAATAAAATTAAACGCAATAACAGATTCTCAATACAGGCATCAGAGGCATCATGATAGACTGTAACAAATATCAACACGAACAGTTGTTAAACGATATTGAAAATATTCCATCAAAATGAAAAGCAAATTCACAACTGATCAATTTTAACCCGTCTTCTAATTAATTGAGCTGATCCTCATGTAAAGCAAAAATCATGAACTTGTTTTTCAGCTTCCCCCATAAAACAATGGGAATCAAACAGATCTCGTAGACAAGCTTTGTCGGTTTTTGATTTGAATAAAGTTATGTTTCTTCATCGACTGAATCGATTCGCTGAATTCCATATATATGTGGCTCATAACAAAGTTCAACAGGCTCTCCTCCCAAGGACCTAAATATAATGCAAGCTCTTTTTCGTCTGTTATTTGAAGCGTTCAATCTCCTGTTCTTTGATTTTTTTTCTCTGCTCCTTTCTCTTTCTGGCTTCAGGAATTTTAGATTTTGAGCCAATGTGGTAAGCACCCCGGTACTTAGCAAATGCTTTGTCTAAATCTTCAATCAAGCGAGCAACATCCTTCTCGATAATAGATGTTACATAATAACGTTTGTCATTATTGATGGCAGCTCAGTCCAGTTTTGAGTTTACCAGTGTGGTGGGAGGGGGGGAGAGGGTGCGACGTTATTTTTAACATAACAGAGGGGGGGTTAGAACTATTTTTTTTGTTTTGGAGGGGGGGTACTGTCTAAGTTTTCGCTAGATAACTCTAGTTTTTCAGCCCCCCCCCTCCTGATAATTATTGCACAGTCCCTAATTGTTTTTATCTCTGGTAATTTTGCTTTGACTAGACAACTTACTAGTACAAACAAGTGAATATTTCAGCAAAAAACTCGTTGCTTGGTTAGGTAACATGTCAGAGAGAAACTAGTTTCAGAGGTGACTGTTGTAGTCGAGACTGTCAGAGTTTGAACTCGCTCACGTCAGAAAAAAAAAACCATCTTGAAGTGAAGCTATACAACAGGAGAGAAGTTGAAATTGAAAAAGATGAAAGCTCACGAATAGTAGGTGCAAAGCGAAACCACCAGCTAACTACTAAACAGGTATGCAGCTTCTGTGCTCCTGGGGTTCTTGGTCCGATTCGACAGTTGGTGGACTGGGGCTTTCCCGGTAGGAGGGACAACCTGAAAAATCCACCATTTTCACACCTCAACTTACACACATTGTTTGCTCTCCAAAGTTTTGCAGAATCTTCCATTTTAATGCCGACACCAGAAAGTTATCCGGTATAATGTGAACACGTATCTTGTGATATGTGACTCTCCGCTTTAGAGATCGGCACCGGCGCTTCGCTCCGTTACAGAAATCGCGCCAAAATCACCGTTCTTATGTCTGAACAGAAGCCCTATCCGGTATAGTTTTCGTGCCAACGCAAAAGTTATCCGGAAGAGAGTGAACATAGCCTTATTTTCATCGGCAACTTATGTACTGTGGTCCAAAGAGAAATTGAAGACAATACTTATGGACATTTTTTTTTGGAAGGGTAAACGAGGTGTATTATCATAGGAGATGTGCAAATGGCGAATGGCTATGCTTCATAACTATCAAGAACAACCAATAAAAGAAAAATTAAACGTCCTTTTACTTCCGACCCACTGCCGCAATGAATTTCATTACTAATCAATACTAATCATAGAGATCCATACCACTAAACATTCAGTATTAGACGCTATGGTAAGTACAGTATATACATAACCTTCACTATATACATTATCCATCGCCTTGATAACTGTACATCATTATACACTTACATTAGAGAGCTTCAGATGCTAAGACGAGGACGACTACGAGAACGGGATTTTCTCAATACTAACTACTGCACACGCGCAAACCAACGTCATTTTGGCGGGAAAATGTGATAGCCGTCGTCATTCTACTACGAGTTTTAGAGAGAATGTTGTAGTGGCGAAACAAGTTATCAAATGTAAAGAATTTTATCATTTAAAGATCAGGAGAGGACTTTACCTCCTTAATAAATAAGGAAATAAGCGAACTAACCTTTGTGGTGAAAAAAAAGTACTATGATGCTTTACGGGATGTCTATTTTTAGAGAAGTCGTCCTCGTCTTCGAATCTAAAGCTCTCTAATACGATACCAAAAGAACAACATTTTTTTAAAGCTTCTGGGCAAACAAGGTCTAATACGGTTACCTTGTAAGTTAACTTTTCAGTGTGACGATTCGAAATAATGGAAGATTTCTTGCATATATTACTAATAAAATTTTGAAATATGATTAAAGATACGGAGCTGTGAACATTGCAATATAAACGGTGAAATCCAATCTCATTATTTTATTTGGCGTAAAATAATTGAACTTTCCTACGAGGAAAAGGATGAGCAATTCCCAAATTGTCGCACAAAATTGAATTAAAATTGAATATTCCAGAGAGTATGATTCAACTATAAAATCGCTATATTGAAGGGTTAGCTTCACCACTCTACTCCTAAATTCTTCTAAACTACGTTGCACGTTGTCGCACAAAATTGAATTAAAATAAAATATTCCAGAGAGTATGATTCAATTTCAAAATCGCTCTGTGGACGGGTTGGCTTTACCAGTCTACTCCTAAATTCTTCTAAACTACGTCGCATTTATTTAAAAAAAATTAAAGTTAAAAAATTATTCGCCACCGCCACTGTGAATTGTAAAAAATTATTCATATCAAAATATACCTTACTTTCCCGGTATTGGCGCAGAAAAATTGCGCGTATTTACAAGAATGTAAAATAAAAATACAAAGGCATTCGAATTTGCTTTTAAAAAATAATTTCAACAGGGTTCTAAAATTTTCACGAATAATCAATCATAATCTCAGTGTTCCACCAATCAAATGCTTTGAAGCTGCTAACAATCTATACCGCTGGCGTAGATTGCGGGCACGTACGTGCTCGTTAAGAATTTCCTCAGTGTGATTGGCGGGAAACCAGCCTTGTGTTCCATCGCATAACCTCTCACCATGATACCAACCTGAAAAGAAATAGAATATTAAATAAATAAACTTTGAGCTTTTGTAACAAGTCGCCACTAAAGAAACGAGAGAGAGACTGGGCCGTGTTAACTTTCGCAAAGACTTTTGGGATTGTAACAGGAGACAGAGTAAAAAATTAGCCAATATGGACTTTAATATCCAACGACGTGACCGCATCGAGAAAGTAGAAAAAAAAAATCCTTTTTTGCACGAGTGCCTTATTTCGCGTTTTATAGAGAACGTAAACTAGCAACGACGAAATTTTATTTCCCTTTCTGGACTTGGATATGGTCTCTTGGAATTCAACTTCAGGGGGGTCACCTACATTTGACAAAGTAAGTTGGTTGGAATAATGGAAAATAGATTAGATTGAGGACCCACTATGTTTCGACCTTTTCAATGATTCGAACCCATTTCGCTTCCCCAGAAGGTTCGCAAAATGGGATAAACTTGCAATAGGCCAAGTTACAGTTGTATGCAAAACAAACTAGCCTGAAAGTAGAAGCGAGGCTGGCGGATACTTCCTGTTGATAGAAACCTATCTGGTGGGGGGGAAGAGAGCCTTCTCGCAGGCTAATTTGAATTGTGTATGTGTGAAAGGCTGTGTATACGTTTACTTACCATCCGGGAGTTTTTTCAGCACATTAATGACGTCACCCTCGTAAAGTGATAGTTCATCTGGCTGTTGGGCCGTGTAGTTATGAAGCGCGTTTACTTGAGGGCAATCTATGACACAAATGTTGCATGAAAATTAATCATCCTCGTTTTCCACTAATGCGTTTACAGTGATCTCTGATTTGCAAAAAACTAAGCCAGGAAAGTTCATTTTCTCTTCGAACCACACTGAAAGGCAGAACCAACAGAACCGGTATTTACAAAAAAGTTCCAATAAGAGTCGAATTGTGACTGAAAAAGAAATCATAAAACTAACTGCATGGAAGCGCGGGAAAACAGGAGGCGCACGTCTCGAAAGCTTTCCTTTCTGATTGGTTGAGAAGAAAACGTGATAGTTTTGGCCAATCAATACATAACTAACTGACAATCGCTCTCTTGCAATCGTTACTGAGGGCGATCAGGCCCTCAGTTTAACAACGAGAGTACGAAGCGCGAGACATCAGAGAGAAAGGAAAAGAGAAAACCACCATTTTTTTTTCAATTTTGGAAGCAAGGACCAAGGTAACAGCTAAAATAAAAGGACCGGATCCTAATAAAGGATCTTATCAGCTAAAAATTAAAATACAGAACAAAAGAAGCAATGCTGATGTTACAGTCGGGAGTATATATTTCTTTGTTACCAATATTTCGGAACGCACGGCTTTCCTTCTTCAGGGTCTTACATACAATCATGTGGGACCTTGAAGAAGGACGGCCGTGCCAGGCTTCCGAAATTTTGGTAACAAAAAAAATATATTCCCGACTGTAAAATCAGCCTTGCATCTTTTGTTCGTTTTTTTTTTCCGCCTGTGTTGCGCTGCACGCGAAGGGCCCATTCGCCTTGCTTAGCTCATGAAGCGCCTGTTATGCAGGCTATATTGCACGTGTATTCTTCTTATAGGATTTTTAGGATTCAGTTCATAACACTGTCCTTACCCCAAGACGCGTACACGGTTTCGCCCTCTTGCTCGGCGGCTGGCGGTTTGAACGCTTCCATCCAACGCGTTTTGTCCGTTCTGAAAGGCCGAAGAAAAAAATTATTGGCACCCAAAAAGGACGGAGGAAATTGAGCTCAAAGGGGCTCATCACGATTGTCTGAGATCATTCTGTTAACAATGCCAAATTATGCGTCTTCACTCGCAATTGAACTTGAGAAATTATATGCGAATGACAGATCCCAGCTCCTCGTTAAGCAAACATGTCTCCTACGAATTACAGTGGCGGATACAGGGGAGGCTCCCCCCTTATTTTTAGACCAAACTGAGGCCCGAAGGGCCCAAAAAAGGTTTTTTGGAGACCGCCCCCCCCCCCCCCCCCCGCCGCCCCCACTTTTTCTCAAGGTCTGGATCCGGCACTGCATTATATCCAATTATCCGTTTCAGCCTTCTTCAAGTTTGCCCATCCGCGCCTCCTTTTGTACTTTCTGTGTTATTTATCCCTTTGTGTCATCTTTTAAGAGGTTATTTGTATGTTTCACTCAGTTTGGTGGCGTTTCTACTGTTTGAATCTTGATAAATTTTGTGACACAATTCCTTTAAGAACAAATTAGACAACTGTGTATAACAAAAATTAAAAAGTGAACATCAGGTGACACATAATATTAGAACTACTTACTCGCTGTTGGCAGCTATCAAGAACTCCTTGGTTTTACTGTCAGAATTCTCTAACAATACCAACGAGAACACGTGGTCTAAACTCATATCCAATTCCTGAGGTTCTTCCACTTGGGTCATGTTACGTGTGGCGTAATCCAGAACTTGAAACCGATTCTCACTGATAAGAAATTAGTAGATTAGCTTGATAGGGAAAACAAAAGATGAAACTTTAACGATAACTAAATAATATTAGTCTAAGCAAATATCTCGGTAAATATCAGCTAACTAGTGACTTTGATTTTATTAACTTCGCTAAGACAAAGACAAAAAAATTGAACGAAGGACCCTTGCAACAGCCTGCGTAGACAATTATAACAAGCTTAAAGCATTCGCAACAATCAATTAACTTTCATACCTTTTCTTTTTAGCCAAGAGTAACAAATCGTTGAAAAGAAACATGTAAATAGATTTCAATTTGGGTTTTAGTCTCTTTAGTGGACTCTTGGAGTCCTCCACAACTTGCATAAGATCACCTCGTCTGAGCAGATATCGAGACGGTGTTGCTAAAGCGAGAGGCTGCAAAAATATACGAGTTATCAACTTGTGAGTATTATTGAATACTTCATCACTACAACTATGCAAAGTATATATATCCTGTTATGTTCATCTCGCTATTCTGATATTTGAAAAATTATACCTTGGTCCTTATTAGACATCGATCAGAATCAAGGGGGCAGTCTGCTGGTTGTGGTTTTTTGGGGGGGAAAATTTAATTTTTTAACAGCCCCATAATCCAATATTTTTCAATTTTCAAAAATATTTAAAATCCCCTCCCCCCAATTTTTAGAGGGATTTTACTTAACCCGTGAAAAAGGTAGTAGAATACTACGCGCTACGGGCCCTTGTCAGACGGCGGCCATTTTGTCCCGAGAGACTATAGTATCGTTGTTTTACCTGTCTAGCCTCGCTCCCAAGTTTTTCACTGCGAGGTCGAGGATGGTAAAACAAAGATTTTTTCAGTCTCTCGGGACAATATTGTCACCGTGTGAATTAGGCCCATTATGTTCTAATAGACCTTTTAACCGATACGGCAGCCATATTGAATTAATTCGATTTAAGGCGTATTATACGATGCCCAGGGGGCATGAGCACATTTCGTTTTTATTTTCGAGCGCTTTTCGGGACAGTTTTCTTAGAATAAGATTCTAATGGCAAAAAAGATCCTTGTGCCGTGTTTGGATGTAATAATGATCGCCTTTTTCCCGAGAAATTTACAGTGAAAGACTATATTTCTGATACTAAACTAGAAAAATGCGATCATTATTACATCCAAACACGGCACAAGGATCTTTTTTCCCATTACAACCTTATGCTTAGAAAACTTTAAGAAAAAATGCCCCGAAAAGCGCTCGAAAATACAAACGAGATGTGCTCATGCCCCCTGGACATCCTATAATACTCCTTAAAATTAATTCAATATGGCCGCCGTATCGGTAAAAAGGTCTATTCCCTTGTCTTCTTTTGTTTACTTGCAGCTATGTTGTAGTAGTTGTTATTCTCAGTTTCACTGGTAAAGTAAAATCACTCTATACATTAAAAACATTCAAAAAATCATCGAAAAATTTCAAAAAATTACTGAACCAAGGACTCCAATCTAATTGAGTCATTTTTTGATTGAATGAGATCTTGGCTAGATATTTAAGAAAAAGGGCGGAAATGAACGAAAAACAACGCTTTTTACTAGACTGTCTTATTACTTGAAAACCACTCACATCAAAGAGTGTAACATAACAACAGAAAATACCACAAAAATATACATACAAAAACCTTTTTAATGTGCTCGGTTCCTATCCTAAGTAATAAGCAATCAAGCTGTTTTCTAACCTTTGTTTTGAATTCTATTTGTGTTTGCAAAACACAGATTTCCTCCATTCGTTCCATTTTTCTTGCCCCTTCATTGCAATCATTTACAATCTACAAAATACACATCGTAAGCCTCCAATTACATTGAGTCCTGAAGATATCCCAAACTCAGAGAGCAGTTTAAGTTCAGAGTTTGAGAAGGAAATAATATATTTTTTTTAGGACAGGGGACGAGGAAGTGGGATAACATGTCCTTACTCATCACCAAGGTGTCAAAGAAAAGAGTTTTTTTTAATCATGTTGAACGAAACGAGGGAAGTGCGAAAGAAGGTGCGGCATCTCCGCGATATCCACGGGGTAAAAGTGGCAACGAAAACCAAAATTAGATGAAGTTTTTGTTCAGTGTTATTCACCTTGTTGATAGCAGCTAACGCCCGGTTTGATCTGTTAAACTCCTCACTTCCAGCTTCACAGTGTTGACAGATGGCCTAAGAAGAGAGGTACAAAATAATGACAAAAATATCAACAAAATATTTGTTAATAGTAACTCAAAGGAACGTAACACCAGGAGAGCCAGAAACGTCTTTAGCGTGTGGGTTTGGTCAAATATACAGTTATTTCCACACTCTCATCTCAGGATTGGCACAAATAATAGACACGCTAAGTCAGACACCTTTTCCCAAAACTTGTCGAGTCGAATTCCTAACCCCTTGAACGCAGCTTAGTTCCATCATTTAACTATCTTCTACGCCCAAAGAAAGAAAAGTTTTGCTGGGTTAAAGACTTTGACTTGACCTTGGAGTACCCAGGGTATCCGCCATTTGGAGGTCGCGCAGAAGACAAAGTCGGTGGCGCTTCGAACTGCACCGTGGAACTGTTCTAGTGGACGAATTTTGATCCAGTTTTCCGTGCAAAATGTGACAGCCAACCAAAGATGACCTTGCGTTCCAACAATCCCGTAGTGCATTTCGACATAGCGATACCAGTCAAGTCTTTCCGCGCAACTTGCAAATGACCATTTTGCCACTGTAGGAAACGAGAAGAAAGCTGGACGGGGTTAAATTTCGCAAAGCCTTCTAGAACTGGTGAGGAACGCGCCGGTGAGCTATTGGCCCATTATTTTCCTTCGCTAAAAACAGTCCTAGAAGTCTTTACGAAATTTAAACCGGCTCAGACTCCTCATTTCTACAGTGACGAACGCCTGGTAGAGATGATGAAATTTGGAATTCGATATTCAAAATACTTACATTCACAAGCAAAGGAAGCCTCGTTATTCTCTGCATTGGAAGAACGAGAAATGACTGCAGTGTCAAACCCTGTACTTCCCTTCTGCTTTGTAGTCTCTTCATAGCCTCCGAAAAACGCACACTCTTTCTGTAAATTAACAAAAAAAACTGCATGTTCAGTTCTCAACACACCAAACTGCACAAATTGTCCCCAATTAGTACTTTCGTGCTAAATACATTGACACTCAAATAAAGTGCAAAAAAAATTTGTGTTCGAATACCGGCTTTGAGACACTCGTGAAATATACTAACGAGTGAGAGCGGCACCAAATCTAGGTTGACAGTGTAAAAAAAAATTGTAAGACAAAACATGTATGGCGATTGACATCCCTATCTTTCACTGTGAAATCCTTGTATTACATACACAAGCAATTAAGCAGCGTTATCCCGGCAGAGATTAAAATTAATCTACTGAAAAAAACGAGAGTTGTTGCTACCTTTTAAAAAAATGATCACTCTTCTCAGTGGCGGATCCAGGGGAGGGGCCCGGGCCCCCCCCCCCCCCCCCCCCCCCCCTTTTTTTTCCCCACACACACACCCCCCGCGGCCAAAAAATTTTTTTTTTTAACCCACACACCCCCCCCTCCCCCCGCCGTCCTGCTCCCCCCCCCCCCCCCCTTCCCTCACCGTTAACCACACCCCCCCCCCGTCTCGCTGCGATTTGCATCCCCTATTTTTACTGTGAAAACCTTTTTTTAAATACACAAAAAATTAAGCAGGTTTTTCCCGGCAAAAATTAAAAATAAACTACTGAAAAAAACGGGGGTTTTTGCTACCTTTTAAAAAAAAGATCCCCCCTTCCCGGGGGGGGACCCGGGGGGGGGGCCGGCCCCCCCCCCCCCCCCCGGGCCCACTTATTTTTAGACCAAACTGAGGCCCGAAGGGCTGAAAAATTTTTTTTTGAGAACGCCCCCCCACCCGCTTATCTCAGGGTCTGGATGACCGCCCCCACTCCCTTATCTGAAGGACTGAATCAGCCACTGCGCTGCTTCTTACAATAACAGCTGTTTAATATTTGTTGTTCTTGTTTGCACTAGTTGTTTTTAGATTGGTTCACCCTGTAAGTAGAGCTTCTTCTTGCCTTATTGAGTGAGGAGGAGAAAAAAAGGCTCTGCCTGAATCGCGTAAAGCCTTTGAAGTCACCGAAACCTGAATTTCTGGACGAGTAAATCTTGTTTTTTCGTCAAACCGGTCTTTGACTGCGAACATCCGTTTATTGTTAAGCGGGTGGTCATGACTGAGCCCGCTGTACCAAGTGAACGGATATTAGGCCTGGGTTTGAAGCTGTATCCTAGCAACAAGCAGCGCATGCTCAACAAAGATTTTACTCTATTCATGCGGCAGGGTTCGGGTTCGTTTTTTGAGCTCCTCAGATTCCAGGACTTTTTCCATGACCTTAGCTTTAGCTGTCACTTATTTTTAAAGCTTTTGTGTTTTAGAGTATTTCTGACCTTAAACAATTCAACAGACACAAACTCTGGTGTCCACCTAAATGAGTGCCGTTTGCGCTGTTCAGTCACTTCGCTCTATCTTACATTGTCCTTGATTTGTTATCGGCATTAACGAATCTACCAAACAAAACTTCAATTTTCCATGACTTTCAAGGACCGACAATTAAATACCATGACTTTCAGGCCTAGAAAATGCAATTCTTAGATTCCATGACGCAGTTCCAGGTTTTCCAATGACATGTACGACCCTGATGCAGTCTCACTCAAGTACGGCAAAATCGAGCAAGTGAAAGCAAGGCTCTCCTAGCAAGGCGAGACTACTGACTAAAAAAATACAAACGCTATCTGTTTTTTTAGCTTACCTTAGATTTCTTAATGTTCTATCCTGATAGATCTGATTGGAACAGTATTTGACGTAAACCTCAAAGTACTGGGTAGCCTGTTATGGGATACAAATTCATGACGAGAGACAGTTGGCTAAGAACAGCACATGAGTTTTTACAACTGATTTCTCTCTCTCGGAGAGCAAAAAACTGGGCATTCTTTGCTAAGTTTAAACAGGTATAATGTGTAAGAAAAACAGATCTGATTGCAGAGCTGAGGAAAGTAAATACAGTAAAAACCCGCGACTAGGAACCTGCATTTTTCCAAGTTAGCCTAAACAGGTTCTTACATAAATGGTTATAAGCACAAATTTAGGCTATTTAGGTTCTTAAAGAGGTTCTTATTTTCCGAAGAAAAATATACATTGTAGCTAAGAATATTTGGAGGAATTCAGTTCATTCTTTACGTATTTTAAAATTTGTATACAGTTGCAGTTGGAGTTGGAGTAATTAAGGCACTTATGTCTCCAAAGAGGATCCTCAATGTTGACTTTTCTCATTTGCCCAAGTGTATAGAATTTCTTTTATAGATATTTTTAGAACGGAAATAAGAACCTGTTTCAAATTTTAGGCTAAACAGGTTCTTAAAAACAAGGTTCTTAGTCGCGGGTTTTAACTGTATTTTAGTCTAACAAAGACGATATAGAAAGTGTTTAACTTACGTGCTGTTCAATAATGTCACTGATAGATGATATAACCAAAGCTTCCTTTTGGCGTGCACGCAAGGCCTGGAGAAAGCTACAAGGTAATGAACAAGTGATCAGTAACAAACATTCTAACCATAAAGTGAAACATTCGTTTAGGTAAATACCTTGGCTTTAATACATAGAAAAAAACAAGCCCATTTTAAAATGGCAACGCCGACAAACAAACAAAAAAACAACACAAACAAAAATTAACAAACAACAAAACGAAAATAAACTGATTATGAAAATGGCAGCAATTCTTCATTTAATCACCTTGGTGACCAAATTGGCCGGTGAAGTTTATAAAAATTAATTTCATATTTACCTCCCCCACAGTCCGAAAACCCGTAACACCGCACCAAAGTGTGGCACAGAACCTATCCGATATGTGACGCTTCACTTATGAGTTCGCCGTTAGTCTCACAGAAACGGCGCCGAAATCACTGTTCTTGAGTGTGAACAGAAGTTCTATCTGGTATGGTTTTCGTGTAGACACAAGAACTATCCGGAAGTCTCGACAGTGATCACCAATGAGAAAATGCTTTGATCGTTTATCAAATTCTCTCAATTGAATCTTTAAGAAATGTACGGAGATCAGTGTGGAAAATTGGTATGTTGATATTAGGGCTTAAAGGGTTAAACATATGTCTAAGAATCATCAACCCTTTACTTGTTTAATAAAACTGTTATTACAGAGAGGCTGTATTAACTTACTTCTCACTGACAGACTTGATGGAGTTGATATTAGAAAACAGCACATGTGACTGGCCTCGTTCTAAAACACACAGCGAGGAACCTGCGTTTAACTCTTCTGATTTGATGAACTGTGACATCAGAATATTTAGACTTCTGAGATAACTTGCCTCTGACGTAATCACCTCAAACATCGCCTGCAATCAACACAGTTAAAGCACTCTCTTTACTACTGTGCGACCTTATAGTTCAAATGATAGTTCTCACTTCCACGATTCAGTACCAACGCGTATATCTCAAGAAGTAGTGACCCTATGTCCTATAGTGACCCTGCCCCAAACCTCTGTTTCAAAGCGAGGCTTTTTATTCTCATGCAAATGAGAATAAAAATCATTTCTTTTGGTTGATATTTGTTGTCATTAAAAATAGAAGCAAGAATGTTATGAAGTTAACCATGTGTTGCATGTCATTGAAAGGCAGAGTAAAGCAAATTTTCTATTTTAAGTGCTCTGATCGGGAGTCCCACCATTCGTCTTGTAGGTATACGTACTGCACATGCGTGGCTAAGTAAACTTATAGCTGATGGAACAGTAGCTGCATCCCACAAGTGTTAGACCTCAGGTCCAGTTGAGTGTTTTCTTTACTATAAGACGGACACATCTCAAAGACGGACAACAGACACTGTTGAAACCATTAACGAACACTTGAAAAGTGCTTTGTGCAGTGAAAAATACCTCAAAACGGATATGTAGGTGCTCTACAAGACAGTCAATTACAAAATCTTCAATATTTTGTAGTCTTTCTCCAGTTCGCAAAGTTTATACTGTTACACTTTTATACCACGAAACCGTGAACACTTGCTTTAAATGAACGTTTGATTCATAGACAAGAAAATGATTTCATGTATATAATTATATTACTGACCTCTTGTCTTTTGCGTTCCTCTCGTTTTATGTTGTCTAAAATGCCACTTTCTTGGACCTGCGGAAGAGGAGCATATCATGAAAGACCTTCGAATCGCTCATTCTACTTAAAGATACCCTTACGTATCCTCTATGCAAAAGATTGTTACTATGTAGATAGATGGATAACGGTTTCCTACTAAGCAAGAGCACTAACTTAAACTCGAAAAAAGTATTTATGTGTACTTCCTAGAAAATTAGATACGTTTAGAGAAAAATGAATTTTAAATTTCATTAAAAATTTCAAAATGTGGAAAAATAAAACTGTTAAAACGTTATTTAAAATTGATTGCTAAAAAAGGTTATAAACAGATGAGCAAGATTTTTAAAGTTGAGGGTTACAAAGACATCTAAATCTTGCGTTGTTACAGCCTTTATGAAAGCACTGATTGACGTAAGCTAACTCTTTATCCAAAGTTGAGGTATCAAGTATTCCACTGAATATTTACCATTTTATTATCTTGCTGTATTGATCCAAGGTAACATGAACTCTCTCACTCAAAGTTTATCGCCACTATTGTTAAAATAAATTTACTTAACATTTCCTTTCAATTTTAAGAGAAAATTATTATATCTATATGATTATCAACAAACCTCTGGTAATTCACACCAAAGCACTCTCATGTTTCTCAGCGTTCCTTTTTCTAGCTGTTCCAAGAAGGCTTCATCATCCGTTAGTGACTTATCACTGCTGTCACTGCCCATGCGCTGTCGACTAATGCTTCGCTGACGCTGCAGTGTACACCGGGTATAGACCTGGTACAAGGGCTCTGTTAAAACAAGTGAAAGAAAAAGCAAAGGTTTGCAATGGCTACATGTACAAAAAAAGACTGTAAGGGACATGTTAACTCAAACTGCGCTGCTCATTTACTTCATAGATATATTCGCTATTCTGAAACTTGAAATATTGTATAATTTTTGGACCACTAAAAGATTACAGAAAACTTCCCACTTACCCCTATGCCTTGCGTATAACCAACCGATCATGGATGTAAAATTCTAGGCCAGTTTATATTTTCACTTAAAATTTGCTGTATTCATTCAAGGAACCTCTCAAAGGTTTTTTTACTTGTTTTTAAAGAACTGAAATGAAACCTTTATGTTGAGTCAGAATAGACAGTACAACAGAGAAACAAGGCACTTTTTGCTGTATACATTGCATTTCCTCCATCACACAAATGATAAGATTCAGGCACACTTTTTGGCCTTGTTTTTTTTTCCAACATAAAATGGAGACCGAAAGAGCTCTGGATGATGTCACCTTAGTCAATTAAATGTTGCACAAATTTAAATCCTGGAAGGCCAGGAAAGACTAATTTGCCAAGAAAACTAACCTTCTGCAAAAGTGTCTCTTTCTTCATCTACAAACAAACATAAACACATAACGGTTAAAGTGCCCTTGAAACGATAACTGTAGCCTGCAGAAGAGGAGCTCTTTTATTTTTCAGGTGAGCAAAGGCAAACTCAAGGTAGGCACAGAGAGAGAGAGACATGCCCAGTGGGCCCATCATGTGTGTGTCGCGCTCATTGCTTACTTTCTGCTTGCCTTTGCTGACCTGAAAAAAATGCAAACAAATCGCACCTATAGTGCAAGGTACGAAAACTGTTTTTGTGTAAATTGTAGCTATAAACTTTATCATAATTCAATGTACAGATCCAAAATATGAGATCTTTTGACGTAAAAGAAATGGTTTTACAAGCCCTTAAATTTAGCCCATGTTGCCGCAAAGCAAGTACATACAGTACTAGTTGTTATGATGCTCTAAGGCCTGGCGCACGCTACTGGTGTACACGGCTAAGAATCTCACATCGTTTGGCTCTTATGAACTTATTAAAACTCAGATCGCATCGATATTTGGCAAGAAGTTAAAGTTTATAAACAGCTTTTCATTCAATATTTTTTTTCTGGCTGTAAGACCAAAATAAAATTGAAATATGAAAAGTATGGCTCAAAATGGGACCATTTTTTAACAGCTCGCGTAACATTTACAGTCTAACCACGCATATTGTGGGATTTCTCTGTTTCTGTTAATGGTACTTTGGAAAAATTTCTCCGAAGAGGTCAGTGACTTATGAGTACTAACTGTATTAAAAATTACTGAACATAATGGCAAAACAACAAAGTTAAGGGCGTTTTCAGAAAGATGTTCTGTCTACATACGATCTCTGTGCAGCGCGAACGTCAATTTAAAAGATTGCTTTTCATTGACTTTCTGTTGTTGTTAAGAAAAGAAATAATAATTTTTGGAATGCTCATAAGTTAAACCTTCCTTATAGACTAACTGTTAAGACTTCGGGAAACCCATTTTTACGCTAAGATCAAATATGTAAGGTTAGACAGCATTTTTTTAACGTGAAAATTCGTAAACCGTGCGTTGGACCGAAAATCAGATTCTAGAGTGTGCTTTNTTGAGTTCAAATCTTCGCCCACTCTTGTACATGTAAATAGCCAAGTGGCTGCCTCCTGCCAGTTGGGGTTTTTGATCCTGTTATGCTGTATGTGAATTATTATTTGTTTCTAAGTATTTGAGTGCAGTGCCTGTAAACCAGCTGGATAAGCTAAGTGCACTTTCCACAATAAACAAGCCTTTAAACCATTTTTTAAAAACCTTTTACATAACCATTGTTAACAAAATGTCTTTACCTGAAGAAAATCCCTCTCCATCTGACTTGTGGATAGGCTGTGAAATATGAAAGAGTAAAAAATTAAATACCCTGTTATAATAACCATTTTACGGTGGTAAAGAAGCTGAAATTATACTTAAATTCAAAAGATGTTCAATGTAAAACTTAAGGTAGTCACATCATGACAGGGAGCAAGGGGTGGCAGTATATATGTGTCATTGAGCTGTACGCGTAAGGTCAAGACAAGTTTGTTTTATGTTTGGACCACGATGAAGTTAAAGTACTCACCTCCGTTGTTCAAAGGGTGGATATAGCGCTATCAACTGGATAAATCTCTATCCACTGGAAAGTGCAATTGGTTTCCAGTGTAATTACACTGTAGTTTCACTTTGTCAGAACAGCTTGAAAATCAGCTTTAGATGTACGTCCATGTGAATTTAGCAAGAATTTGAAACATTTTGTCTTACTGTAAATTCCCAAAAAACTCTACCTACCCATGTAACTGGAACCCAATACACTTACAAGAAAATAATTTTCCACACTGCTCACCTCTGCATAAAGATCATCCACCTCATCATAAACATCCCCATAATTGTTTGGGGGTTCAGGAGGAGAGATGCTCTCTGGAGGAACACAGTAATCATGAGAGGAATCTGACGAGAAGGAATGTTCTGATGATGCTGAAAAATAACATAAAAAATAAATGTCTTCATAACGCACACAAACAGCATCACCTGGCTGAAAAGGCTTATCAGTGCTCATCTGGAGTAAAGGTCAGTTTTGATAATACTGAACAGTATAAATTATAGTCAACTTTCTTCTAAGACCACAGGTAACCCAGGCTCACTATTTGTGTCACGTACAGGTGTCATATAACATACTCCTATGACCTACATGTGCAAAAGATAAACACTACTAAGACTGCCTATGTTTGTCTTACAGATAGTTGACGTATGTAACAGAGATACTGCTGTGTTGTTTATGCACTGTTTAATCCTTAACTGAATGATAATTTGTAGGAAGGATGTTACTGTGAATTACCATCATTGTGGTCATCACCATCCTCTTCATCTTTTTCTTCAGTTGGTGGTTCTATGTAATCATGATCACTGTCAGAAAAGTCAGATTCATCTGTGCTCAGGTCTGTTTTTAAAACAACAACAAAACACAAATTAACAGCTACTGAAACAAGTTTGCACTTAACTATTTCAGCCCTGTTTGCTTACCTATTTTTAACAACTATATTTTGTTTGTATGTTATCTTGTGCAATAAAAATGAAAATATGTCACTTGGGTGTAATAGGTATCCACTGAAAAAGCATGAAACAAGCAAGAGGGCTGGATAATAGCCAAGTTCTGTTTTCCCACTTTTCTGGGGTAAGATGAAGTCAAATGTAAAAAGGCAAACATTCATCCATATTGACAGAGCAAGCTTGGTTAATAAAGGATTTATTATACCACCAAAACAAAATCTCTTCTCAAGGCACAAACTGGGCAGTCCCAAGAGGGCAAGACCGGTGTTCTCCCTAAATTTTAGCTCAGCAGGTAAGGGACCATTCATGACCAGTAAGGCAAAAGATATGTGCCAGAGGTGCACTTTCCCTGGGGGAAGGGGGTTAGTGGAGTGAGGGACATGGCCCTGCCCCCGATGGGAAATTTAGGAGCTACATGTAAATTCTCTGAAACTTCACTCCCTCATTTGAAGACCTATTTTACACAAATGGGCCTTTGTTATCTTAAGACAACAATTTAAAACATTTCATATTTAATAACACTTCCAAAATGAGCAGCCCATAAAATGAAATGCTGTGTATATGTTGTAGTTAATTTTTTATCTCAGGTAATTTTTATTTTTCCTTTGTTTCAACTTCATTAGCATACATTATCATACCCAAAAACAAAAGAAAAACAAAAATTACCTGAGATAAAAAATGAACTACAACATATACTTTAGTACTTTTCCATATAGATTTATTCATTTTCTTTGTGAGAATCAGATCAGATCATACAATAATGTACATGTAACTTCCTTTTTTAAAATCTACATTTTTTTGTTTTAGTAAACCTCCAAGTGGCTGGAGGCAGTAAGAAGGGTTGCTTCAAGCGGTAAATATTACCAGTTAACACCTGATAAGGGGAGAACACTGAAGACTCAAGCAGCTAATCAGACCACAGGATTTGCTTCACTGATCATGCCCTCTTTTTTTAATATTATGGACACAGCCACATGATAAAAATAATTCTGTCAATTATGCCCCACTACATAATTATTATCTTTTCTGTAGAATTATGTGCTTAAGCTAAGGTTGTTTGGTATTGTGACTAAGTTCTCTGCAGTGTGCAAAACTGATCATTTTAAAACTTAGATGACTTGTAAGGAATATTTCAATCTCCAAACCTGTCTAAGTATTCAAAAACATAAGAAAATAAAGTATGTCTTCTAGAGCCTTACTTTTGACACAGATGCTTTCACAGTTCTTTAAACAGTAAACAAAATAATAGTGTCTAATATCTGGATCTGTCCCAATAAAACAACCACTAGTACAGCAGTGAAAATGTAAGCTATAGTGCTTACCACACTGGAGTCCATTCAAGGTGTGTTTTCTCTTCAAGCTGCTCACAAACCCAGCCACTGCCTGTTCATCTGCTGTCTCGTACGCACCAGCAGCTGCTCTCTTTTCTTGAATGTCTTCCATAAACTCATTGACAACATTTTCATCAGGTGTTTCATAAGTACCACCTGCCTCATCTGTAGGAGCTCGGGCGGGACTGTGGGCTGATGATGCACTCATGGGTGGACTTGTACCAATAAATGCATGTTCATATGCATATGAGTATTGAGATTGGTCTGGGCAAAAGGAAAGAGTGTATGAGAGCATAGTCAAGTCAGCGCTAATGGGCCATAATTGTTAGTTTCACTATACAATGTTTTACAATTGCCTTTCTTCGTTCATATTTTGTCTTCTGTATTTTTTTCTCCTACATATATGTTTCTTTTTCATGCTTCTGTATCACTCTACTGTAATGTACATGTATGACCTTCTAAATTATTATACAACTGTATATACCTTTATTAATTGTATACTAGTGGAGCGGATTAAGCACAAAAAAACAAGTACATGTACATATACAACATAATATAATGTATGCACGTTGTCTCAAAATGTCACCAGGATCAGTGCACACACAAAATAACAGAAAATTAATGTGATTACAGCTGTATGTGTAGCCTAACAAGCGAGGCATATTTCCAGCACAATAATATTAAACTGCTGATTTGGAAGGGCTATATGGAGTCAGTTAAATCATGAAAATCTGTTATTGAACCAAGAATGATTCAACAGTGAGAAACTACATGTACTTAACAAATCGATCACAATTTTCCATGGTCTACACTCCTAGAGACCATAGAAATGACATCATAAAATGTTCAAAACTCAAGTGAAACCACAAGCCGCAGGCGAGTAGTTTCACTACAAAGTCTTGAACATTTTATGGCATCATTTCTATGGTCTATAAGAGTGTCGACCATGGAAAATTGTGGTCGATGTGTTTTTTAAAATAACATTTATTTTTAGTTTCCTGCGAACTTTCTCGGAAAATCACGTGTGACATGTTACGTTATTTCCACGGTCTATACTCTCATAGACCATAGCTCTCGACCGATCAGCATGCAAGGATTTGCTAAGTTATTGTAAAAAGTATTATTGACTTTAACTTTGTAATACAACCAGTATTGTGCCATTACCTTCAGCTAAGGAAACATTTGATATTGCACTCATTGAAACAGACTTGCTGACAGAAAGTTTAACACCGCCCCCTTGTGTATGATCATAAGCAGAGACGGGTCTTGGGCGTGGCACAGGTGGTAAAGGTGGACCTTTTAACACTGTTGCTTTCTCAGTAACAGGGGTAGCCCCTGGGGGTAAGGGTGGTGGTCTCCTGCTAGCTTGCACTCCATTACTTGAGGAACGATTAACGACAGGATGAACAGTTTTTCTTTGCGGTGCCAACCTTTTCTTTTGAGTCTCAGTCCCTACAACTGTAAATGACACGCAAGAATCAGGATAGTTAGAGGAAGAAGCTACGTAACTGTGTTAGCTTTTAAAAAATAATGATAGCAAATACACCAACTGTATTTGCTATCTTTTCAAAAAGCTAAAATAAGTCTTCTCTCATCCATTGAATTCCAAAAAATAATGGTCCATGTATGTACGACTAATAATATTTAAATGTACTGAAAATGCTTTCTGTCATCTTCTGCTACAGATGGCAAGGATTGACATGGATTGAAATAACCAGGCCAAGTTTTACAAGTTTTTATGCTATGCCTGCAAAAATCAGCATAAAAAATTGTTAAAGTAACTTGTACTGCTACCTGATGGAATTTGGATGATTATCTTCTTCATATAAACTCTAGCTCAGAGCATTTTGTGTATGGGTACAGGTACTACATGTCAGTACCATTAATGGCCTCAGTACAGAATTCACCTAAAACAGCAATAATTATTATTCTTTTGACATACAGCTGTAGCCCCTTTAATGACTTGAGGGCTTTCATTTTGTGTACTAAAACTTTATTTGATCAATTATTCTTAAAGATCTTACAACTCTAAAGTATCTTTCCATACTCACCAGATGTCTCTGATGGGGTGTCGCTGTCATTATCTTCAAGACTTTCGACTGTTTTAGACCTCGTCCTAGTAACCACTTCTGCTGAAGGAGCACTGGGTCTTCCCGGCAGCTGCTTTTGCACTTCATTCCCTGTTGAGGATTTCACAAGGAAGTGTCATATAAAAGTACGATACGATCATGTAAAAAAGCACACAATGTTATGAAAGCAATAAAGTAACTAATGAAGTGCTATCAATACAGCACTAACCTATGAAAGTACATGTACATGTATACTCGGCTCGGTTCTGCTGAAAACACTTATAAGGTTGTTAACCATCTTTACAATAAGTTTAAATGAACATTCAAGGGATCCTGTGTTAGTGAGAGAGAAAATCAACTGGGTTGATGATGTTTAATTTGCTACCATAAAGCCATTCTAAAGTTGACTTTTTATTTATTTTCTCAGTTTTGTCAAAGCAAAGTAATTGCTCTAACGAGGGACTAATGTTTGTGACCTCTGAGGGCCTAAGCAGTAACCCTTCATCAGGTTGACTGCTTCCAATAAAACTCTAGAGCTCAAAATGTCAGCTAATGGATCTTTTTACATTGATTGGTTTACTTCAACACCTTAAGCACTGCCAAAAGTTTCATCTTTACTCACCAGCTTGAGGTTTTACTGGCAAACCTCCAGGCTTAGGAAGAAGTTTAGGTTTAGAAGGTTCTGCTGGTTTCACTGAACCTAAAGCAGGCTTGGAATTGGATTTATCTCCAGGTGAATTTGAAGCTTGACTACGTGATGGCCTTGGTGAAGGATGAGGAGAAGGTCGCGGTGATGAACCATTATCGCGGAAAGGAAATACAGGTATGGTTGATAGTTTTTGTGCTAGAGCAGCAACAGATGATTCACCCTTGGAAGATAAACTTAAGTCCGGAGGTGGCTTTTGGGGCACAGGAGGTTTATTTGCTTCCGTGGTTGTAGTTTGTCCTGCAGACGCTAAGTCTTTTGGTAGTGACGGAAGAGGTTTCTTCGGAGGTAACGGTTTTGATTTGTTACTAGCAGTACTTGGATCAAGAGTTCTTGGAGATGTGCTAGGGCTCAGATCTTTAACAGCCTCAGGCTGTCTTGTTTCACTTGCTTTACGAAAAGATGGTGGAGTTGTTTCAACTTTAAAGCCACTAATTTTTCGTATGACAGGAGGGGAGGTCTTGCTTGCTACACCAATTGGTTTACGGGGAGTAGGAGGGGAAAATTTGCTCCCTTGACTGATAACTTTGCGGGGGACGGGAGGGGAAAACTTGGGCCCTGTCCCACTTATTTTATGAGATGTAGGAGGAGAAGCTTTGCCTGTTGTGGTGATTGCTTTATGAGGCTCTGTACCACCTTCTTTGGAGGAGAGGGAAACCTGATTTGAATTTCCAGCAACTCCACTTGCTTTACGCTGAGATGGTGGTGTAATTTTGCTGGCTCTGAAAAATTAAAAAATTGGAATAATGTTACAATATTAATATAATAGGTGACAAATTACTCCTTTATTTTGGCGCAAATATTTATTATAAAAAATTATTAGAATTTGGACAAAATGCAGAAAAAAGTATCTCTACATTCATTTGTCACCATCTGATCACACATACACATGTAGTTTATCAATGTGGCTAAATGTAATTTAGGCAAAGATAACCTCGAAGCAATGCTGGTCAGCAGTTTCTCCAGCTATACTAGCGGTGGCCCGATGCCTCTAGTAGGGGCACCTCATGACTCAGATGTGCAGTTGCTTGCTTGCAGTTCTTCGCAAAGTGTTGTTGCAATAGCTTGCTGTTTGTGTGCCTTTTGTGCTTTGGTTTTTTCCCATCCCTCCCTCCCTTTTGAGGTAAGGGCCAGGTAAGTATTGGTCGTAAGTATTCCACTGAATTGTTCAGTGTGATGGTGCCTGGTGAGAGATGCCATGGATACCTCCTCCTCATGCTAGAGCATTGCCCGGCTCCAACAACTTTGTAGGCACCAGCGCCCAAGCTCATCTATTGGTGATGAGTTTAATTGGTATTATTATTACCGTTACACCATATCTTCACCATTAGAACAGAATGGAAATCAAATAATTTTGCGGCTCTCAGTCGTGTGTTTTTGCTGTATAATATAGCTGGAATTTTGGTTCCACTGCGTAGAGCCACACCACGCAACTGGACATCACACATACATGTGCTGTGGCCTCTGGAGTTGAAATTATTTTTTGGGCAACAGGAAACTCAGAAGTGTTGTTGCATATACTTCGCAAAACTTTAGAATAACTCCTTAATGGACAAAACCTCTTACTGCTGGAGGCAGCGACTGGAGGCAGGGTGGCTGAGTGGACAGAGCGCTGGACTTGCAAATCGGAAGCCCCGAGTTCATGTCCCACTCTGACCGCGAGCTGGATTTGTTCCAATAATCCCAAGTTTGAATCCTTGGCCATGCTTGTGAATAGCCAGCTGGTTTGCCTCTGGCCAGTTGGGATTCCTAACCCTCTTAACTTCAATTTGAATTGTTTGTTTCAGGCTTTTGCTCGGCCCAACTAGCATACAGTGCTGTAAGTACTGCCAAGGGTAAATAACGGAATTATTATTACATTATTATTATTATTATTAGTGTTGGCATGCCTGCATTAAATAATTCTTGTGTATTTTTCAACTTTGCAGGCATGCTGACAGTGAAGAATGATAGTTCTTCATGTAACCATCATTTCATGTTTTCCACAAATAAATTTATTTACTGACCTTGGAACAGAGATAGCTTCATATCCTTCATCAGAGCTTGAAGACGAATCACTCACTGTTGGTCGCAATGGTTCATACCACTGCTGATCATCCGCAGAATCATTAACAGTTCCATTACTAGTATCATTACATTCAGTTGCACTTTTTACTGATGATTCAATCTTCGGTACACGCATTTCATTATTTTTTATTGCTTTATTAACTATAAATCCTTGCTTTGCTAGAGGTTCCTTATCAGCTGACAAATTGTTATTATTTATTAATATAACACCTTTTCCCACAGTTTCAGGTGTCTTCAAATTTGGAGCTTTAGGTGGTGGTCTCCGTGGTTTTGGGTGAACAGCAGGCTTTGGTGGAATATTTTCAGGTTTTCCATTCTCTATAGTAATGTCTGGTTTAGGTTGATGTGACCGTTTGCGAGGTGCAGGGCGTGGTTTTGTGGCAGGAAGAAGAGATGCCTTTTCCACTGGCTTCCATGTTCCACCTTTATCTTCTTCCTCCATGACTGAAAAAAAAAGAACAAAATATCAAGGACTGATGCTCTTTGCCATTATAGCATCCTTTCTGTTTAATTATCCCAAGAAACTTTTTGTTCTTTAGTAGCAGGCACTTCCATGACAACTGGACAATGTTTTTGCAGGCTGCCTTTGCTTCTGGAAAACCCTGACCCTATTCTCCTTCTATAGAGTATTTATAACCTGGGTGAGACAAAAATAACTTAAAATAATCAATTTGCCCAAGGGCAAGATACCCCCTCAGAGTCGCCAGTCTGAAAGTCTAAGCAAAAAATAAACAGTTCAAAATGATTCCAAACTTTGCTTGTCATAAAAAAATCTTATCCCTTTAAATACATGCCAGCAAACTGCCTTTGCTGTGATCCTTACAACTAAAGCTTAAAATTGGATAAAGATTTTGAATTCCTTGATCATTACAATCAGTCAGTAACTGATTTCACAGTGACTTTTGATCGCAGTTTTAAAATTCTTATGGCCGAGTTTGAAAGCACAGGAAAAGAATTATGATGATTTTGAAACATGTTTATCTACTTGTCAAAAAAATACAAAATCGATGTAAGACCATCATTATTGAAGATCAACAATAATTTGCCAGAAGGACTAAAACTGACATTACCATTTCAAATTATATGTATTTACAGTGTACAGTTCTCAGGACTGCAAAGGAATACTCCATTACCAGGTATATATTCGTTAAAAACCTGGTCAAATATCGCCTTCTATTGAATACTGGATTTGATATTCAAGTAAGCAGGGTCGTGAGCTGTTATGCTTCCGAGAATAGCAGGAATATTGTTCACTTAGACTCCAAAAATAAATAACATACATGTACAAACAATGAAATACGCGTAATTTACACGTGTTTAAACGTAGAAAAACGTTCATTATATCCTCAGGACGACTTTGCATACAATTTAGTTGAATTTTTTTAAAAACTGAAACCTTCATAGGAAATACACTACCATGAGCGAGCACGGATATCGAAAGACAATGAAATACATACAACAGTGCACTTGATATTAACTATAGTCACAGATATCTGCTTCAATAGGCAAGAAGGTGTCACTTGAAGATAAATAAAAGAAAAAGCACGGAACATCTGAACGGGAGATCAATTCTAGAATCTGTTAAAGATATTAAATCGATAAAACAACCCTGTAGAATCGAAGTCAGTTCCAAACAGACATGATCGCCACGCAAACTATTTCACTGATTGAAACAATATTGGGAACACAAATAAACGGCGTATGGACATTCGATTTTCTAAGGAAGACAACAAAGAGGAGATAAACAACGAAGAATTACAAGTTAAAGAACATCAAGCTTATTTAATTTGAAGCACCGAGAAATTAAGCTCAAGTACAATCAACAACGTTCAATGCATCACTCACCGAAGATCAACCCACATCTGCAAAAGGCCGATCACAGCTAAACCACATTCACCAAAATCACAATAACCTCCGTTTTCGAACGCTGAAGATGTTGTATGAAGAAGCACTACTATTGACGTTCTAAGGCATCGGAAATACTATCAACAGGTTATTTTCTCAAGTCCTCAATGCAAGAAGAAGCAAGCAAATGCGCAGATTGTCAACAAAGTGTGAATTTTTGCGCATTTCCGTAAAATAGTTGATAAGAGACTGGGTCAGAAACCATTTCACCTAAAATTTACAAAATTAATATATTTTTTTTATACTCACCAATTTCAGTGCCAACGAGTGCATAAAGCCTCATGTCTTCATGAAATCGATTTTTCCTTAGAATCCCCAAAATAGCTAACAGTGTAGTTCTATAGTAACGGTATAATTATCGGTATTGGCTTCTGCGGAACTTTTCAAGGTTTGACTTTAAAATTCTTCAGATCTTTCAATCCACCGATCTCCGATTATTATTTCAGATTGATGATTGTTTCAGTTGATCCCCAGATTTATACCTTTGTTACCTCTTGAAATAGACCATAACTCTCAAGATCATAACGTGATCTCGGATTCATGCAATACGGTGTCCACCATCGAACCAAAATAAGCAAAAGTCTCTTTTTCCGGAAGTGATCAAGTGACGTAGAAAACCACTGATCCGGAAGTGACGATACGCCCTAATTGAGGCGAGCTGAGAATGGTGTCATTACAATTTCAAGGCCTGGGTGTTGTTTTTCCGTGTCTAATCTGTACCTGATCGAATTGTTTTGCTTGCTATTGCAACACAAAGCTGAATAAAAGTTAAAATACGAGAAGGGCCCGTTAACTGCACGTGACCATCAATTACGACGGAAATCACAATCACAAGACTCGATTTCACCACTCCCCAACTCGCGGAAGGAAAGATCTTAGGCTGTAGGGTCTGTAAGTGATAGATAATAGTTAAGTGAAAAGAACGTTTGTAAACTTACTCTTGCAACTCTGTTATGGTTGTTTTATTCCATTCATTGCAAGAGGAGATTTAAGGGTTTACATTAGTACTAAATAGTGCTTAAAACATAGGATGTAATTTCCATGAGAATTTTAATTGTAGACACCCTGTCCTTCCCCCCCCCCTCATTAAAAAAAGGGGAAAAAAACTTTTAATTCCTTTTGATTTATTGATTCAGTGGGGATGAATAATATTTAAAACACATGATAATGTGAAGAATGCACTTATTTTTTAAAGACACGCATTCACCAAGCCAAACAATAAACCTAACATTTACAGTTTCAATTCTGTACACATTGCTTAAATTATCAAGTTTTATTTCAGCCCACTGAAAGGCGCCTCTTTCACGTCAGTATTATAGTAACAGGAGTCTATCACTGGTTACTCTTTTCACGGTGTGAGAGAATTTAAAATTGACCGCCCTCTCCATCAATCAAAATATACTCACTAACACAGTTAGAAAGGGGATAAAGAAAAAATAAGGAGTAATATAGTATATTTACACACGTAAAAACCTAAGAGTTAACAAAAACTCGTTCGAACGTGCACGTGATAGTGGAGTGTCCAAAAATAAACAGGAAATGCTCAGAGAACTCTTAAATAGGACATACATATCAACTGAAATTGGAGATGTCTCCTCTGGCCTTTGAACAAGGATTATAAAGACATTACAGAAAAAATATATATATATATATAAGTGATGACACTAAACATTTAAAGTAAACTTTCAAATGTGGTGAATAACATCAGGAAATTTAAACTAAGTTCAGATTAGTTGATTACTTAAAGAGACAAATAAATCTACACTATAGTTTATTTAAGTCCCAAGCACCTGAGATTCATAGACTTGATGACAAACAATGAAAAATACATGAGAACTATTTTTACCAAAGACTTTATTTGTGAGAAAAATGATAGTTCATTATGCATCTTAAATATAAGTTTTTCCTGTTAAAGTAAACAATTGACCCTGTTTTAACTTAAACAGGAAGAAGTCACACCTGATTATTTAAATGTCCTTAAAAGTCAAGGAAAAAGTTCAATCACTTAGACTCACTACATAATATGCTATTTCTTCCTTTATGATATGAGCAAAGATCCCCATTTTATTGAAAATGAAAATAGCCTTGTAAACATCTGTTGTAAGTAAGTATCACTTTGGGACACTTCCAGAGTAGCAGCGTTATTAATGAAGACTGGTGTCATTTGTCATGATTGCAACATTCAAGTCTGAGGATACTGGGGTCTTAAACTGGAGCAAAATCAAGGCTTCTAAATATGTAGACCATGGTGACCTGGAAGGACAAGGAATAGGGTGTATTCTACTCAAGGGGCTAGGTTTTGGTGCCCATCACCATATAGCAATCCTATATCAAGGATACAGCTATTTCAATTAATGTTGTCAGAAAGGCCACAATGTTATGTTTCATAGTGTAATAATGTCTTCTCTTTACAATTAGTTTTAAAGTCTGTTCAACTGTCACTGGTTCCTTCTTTACATTCTTCAAAACAGCTTCAACCTGTGAAGATGCCTAGAAAACATCAATATTTCTCAAATTTCTCACCATAAGAGAGAAAACATAATAGGCAGCTAAACCCCAGCCACAAAAAATGACAGCAACTACCGCATCAAAAAACCAATAAAATTTATAAACAAAATTAATAAGAGCTCTGATAGTAAAAATAATTTAAAATTTTTATTACTTATCAGGAGCGTAGAAAACATCAATATACACACATACGACTGTGCGTATGGCTGAAATCTAGAAAAAAAATTTTCCTGATAGCATTTACCACTAACACACGCCTTCAAAGGGTTTTTTCTTCGGTTCAAACCTGCAGGTTGGTGGACGTCAATCAACTGTTACCATGTTTTTCATGCATTGGCCAAGAGGGATTTTTCCCTGTTTCTCGAGCACCTGGAGGAACATGTCAGCATTCAAGCTGTTCTTGCAAAATTTTGTTGGTATTTTTTTAACTGTTTTATCCTTTTTTCCATAAGCAATGTACTTTTTGAACCAATAACTAAACAATGACTGCATTTTCCTTTGTATTTGTGAACTGAAAATGTCCCGCAGAAAGAAGAAGGTAATAGCATTTCTAAGCCCCCAAATTTGAAAAATTTCCTGGGGGGGGGGAGGGCATGCCCCTAGACCACCCTAGCTTGGTAAGTTTGGAGTGCCCTTTGCAGTCTAACTTTTCATCCCATGAGTACACTTTTAAAATTTCATGCTACTTCCCTGCTTATAACATGTCCAGGCTTACTGTTAACATGTTAATATACAATGTAAAGAGGGTGCTTCTTGTTGCCCTCTAAATCCATCGCCATTGTGCTTGCTCTAGCCCCCTGACGCAAAATTGACTGGCAAATTTAAAAGAAATATTTAAGGTATCTCTATTATATTTATTGAACTAAACATCTATGAAAATATTTTTATGTTCCTTAACATCTTGAGATAAATATTGTTTCCTACAAGTCTCACACAAAAGAAAGATTGATTGTCAGATTGATCATCAAGGTAGTTGCACCATGGTTTATCTATTAAACCAAATCTGAGCTGATTTGACTGAAAGCAACTATTTAATCAGCATTGGGCCAGCGAGCTTCTCAGCTTCACCATCATCACCTCGTACAGCACGTACAAGTTCAATACCAAACTCAAAAGCAGTACCAGGTCCTCTGCTAGTTACCAGGTTTCCATCACGAACAACTCGGTCTTCAGAGTACGTGTAACCTTAAAGACAAAAACAATCAAATTCTACACCACCAAACTTGTAACGGCGGTTTTTCATTTGCATGAGGAACACAGAAAAGTTACCATATACATTTAAAATATACAGAGTTTAGTATGACAACGTTTATCCTATCCTTACATTTCCAGATTAAGAACATCATCAATTTCTTTAAAGGATAGGAAAAAGAACTGTCAGACATCACACAGAGATTTCTTAATATTGCAGGATTTCAACTTTAGTTGACCTACTATGAAACTCATGTTTGGTTGGTTTAACTTCCATTTATAATAAAAAATGCTTGGGAGGTTTGACTTCTATTTTTAATAATTAAAAATAGAATTAAACCAACCAAACATAAGTCTCATACAGAGTAAGTAATAAGGTCAACTAAAAAAACACTTTAGGGCCATTTTGTGGTTACAGGACATACAGTGCTGCCTGGTGAGTCAAACAATAATTTCAATGAAGACTTGGCAAAAAATACTCAACCTAATTGTCTAAAAATTAACTTCCTTAAAATGGTATTTAGCAACTCATGGTATAGTTTTAACTTTTCACAAAAAATATGCAGGCTACACAAATATTTGTTTATTTTTTAATTTAGAATGAAAAATGTATGTCATGTGAAAACATACCATCCAGTTTATCTTTCACAGAAGGATGTGATGTGACAGTCTTTCCTTTAGCAATTCCATGAGTATGAAGAGCAGTTGGGGCTGCAGTATGAAACAAACAAACCAAATGGCTCATCAGCCCAGAGCTTATTCCATTTTCCATGGCAAAACTAAGCAGCTGGGAATATTTTACCTCTCCCCCCTCCCTCCCCGCCCCCGTTCTGAATAGGATGTTAGTCCATCACACCAAGTTGCTGGTACCTACATATTTGTTTATACACTTGGGTGAAGAGATATAAAGTGAAGCTAAGTTTCTTGTCTAAGGAAAAAATATGACAGCAAGGTTTGAACTAGGACCTAGATTTTGTTCAGTTTCAGACCTCAAGGTGTTCCACAAACAAGGTAAACAAAAGTTACTGCCGCAATATTTTCTGTACTATTAAGATATGAAAAGCAAAATAGTAGACTCAGTCTTACAGGGCTGTCAACCCCCAAAATCTTCAAATATTGAGAATTGACAGGGAAGGAATGATAGATGATGTCATAATGCACGAAACTTGACGTCATTTGTGCAAAAAAACATGCGAAAAAGATGTTGTTGGAATTGTAACATTTGTATCTGATTGGTTTACTTCCCACCAATCACATAATACTGCTTATATTACAATGGCATTAACTAAGGTTTCTGAGGAAACGTTTGATGTTAAAAGTTAAATAGCTCAAACAATGCAAAATATTTTAAATTTCATTGACAGAAAGGCGAATCTACAAGAAATAGCAAACTTCGGCAATTACATGTATCTGGGAGATTTCAGACTCTAATCTGGAGACCAGAAGAAACGGTTCAAAATCGGGGGTCTCCAGGATTATCCGGGAGAGTTGACAGCACTAGTCTTATGTCGACACATGTAACATAAACTGCGTTTATAAGCCAGGGGCTTTTACATCTTAGGAGGGCTTATAAAAGGACGGGCTCATAACCCAGTGTTCTCCCTAAATTTTAGCTCAGCAGGTAAAAAACCATTCTTGACCAGTAAGGCCAAAAATATGCACCAGTAGCACACTCTCCTGGCAGAGGGGGAGAGACTTTTCATTCATGAAGGCTTTCATTTTTGAACATCCTGTCAACCAATTGACTGAAAAGTACTTTTAACACCCCAAAACAAAGAATTTTACGAAGAAGCCTACATTTACTGCTAGGATTAATTTAGTTTTAACACAAGTCGCGGGAGATGCGAACTTTTCCTGCTGTTGAGAAATTCTAGAATTGGGACAGAAACCCGTGAAAAAATTGTTAGCCTGCAGTGCTTTGAAAGTACCAGATAGCATTTAAAAAAGTAATCAGAGAGAATAGCTGTGTATACTTTTGTTTTTCCGCATTTACTTCCTTTTCTTGTGAGGATTGGCTTGGATCACAACTTGCATGTTTTTTTAGACAACTTATATATTTAGTAACACTTAAAGCAGTTGCAGGCGGTAAGAAGTGTTGTAAGAAGGGGTGAATTTTTACCGGTTAACCACCTGATAAGGAGAACACTGATAACCAGAATAGAAAAAGCACTCAAAGGCAACAAGCTTTAGCTATAGCAGCAGTGCTGATTAAGATATTACCTTTTGCATTTACGGATTATTAATTAGGCTTCAATTATTATATTTAGAGGCGGGCTTGCCCACTAGCCACCTGCAACAGTGTTACCTAGGGTAAGAGCGATTTTCATTTGAAATTGAAATGAAAACAAGTGAACAAATGTGCCTGGCTTTTGGTTGGTTAACTGAACACTCGGCTGAAAAAAATTCATGCCCAAAGAACTTTCTTTAAATCATTCGATACTTCACTTTGACATCATA